TTTTGTAGCAGCACATCTGTCACCTATTTCTAAATACCCAAATGGCTGCTGTTTTTCTTGTAGTGATGCTTGTTGCAAAGCTTGCTATAATGAAACAGTTCAAATTACTGAACATATAAGGGAAGGGATGTTGTTAATTATTCATTCAGACTGCTTGGAATCTAGTGGTTTTGTAATCTCATTTTGAATTCCAAACTTGCTTCAAATTAGTGTATACCATAAATAATCATTAGTCATCAAATGACTAATGCATTTGCTTGCTCCATATTCTTCATGGATGTTTACATTATTAGACCATATTTCTGTCCCGAGACAAACAAACAAAGCCTGATTTTGTATTCTATATTCAGGTAGCTTTCTCACTGACTTCAGTAAGAGTTTCACTAGTATAAGGAACATCGGCTTAAGAACACAGATGCAGGAAAGTGCAGAATGCATTATAATCCAACTCAGAAGCCTCAAAATCCAAGGCAAAGAGGAGTCTTTCTTCCCCACTTACACATGTGGAAAGTTACAACGGACTGAATTCCACTAATGCCAGGTGTCCTTGTGGTACCCCACAAGAGTTAAGAGTCACATCAGTTTATCCTTATGCAAGCCATTTGCTCTCAGAGTCTGCGTTTTCCCATGCTAGATCTCAGCATTAATATACCTTCTACAGAGGCGCCAGGATTGTCAATCATCTTTTGCCAGAGGTGCTGTTCTTCCCCATGAGAGTCCATCCAATCCACTTCCTTCCCGTTACTTAAACCTTGCAAATGCAAAAAATATGGAGAGTTTTGGCATGTTAGTGAGATGTAACTCAATATGGCTCCTTATCTGTTTCAAGAAGGTATATGCAGGATTGTTGTACTCCTGTCACTTTCAAGACATTGGAGAGACAAGGTGGACAAGATCATATCTTTTACAGGGCCAACTTCTGTTGGTGAAAGAGAGAGAAGCTTTTGCGCTTACACAGAGCTTTTCTTAAGGTCTAGGAAAGGAAACAAGGGTGTCACAGATAATTACTTATGCTAAACTATCTGTTCAATCTTTGGTTTAGTTGTGACACTATAGGTACCTCTCCCAGACCTGAGGATAATCTCTGTACAGCTCCAAAGCTTGCCAGTGTCTCACTTACAGAAGTTGGTCCAATAAAAGATATTACCTCCCCCCACCTTGTTTCTCTCAAGAGGATACAGAAAGACAACACTCTCCTTCACTGCACTACTGCGTGCAAGACACACTATAAAGCATGTGCCTTACAAAAATTGTGGATTATTTTCTGGGGAGGAGAGATTTTACTTATCTATCGAAGAAGAAAACCTGGCAGATTATAAAAGGAAAATAACAACAAAGAAACCAGAAGAATTTCAAAAGTAAATGAACTAAGTTTTTAAAATTATCTAAAAAATAATGATGTAATAAAAAGGGTGATGTGCCAGCCTGGATTTGGCTGGGGTTTAGCTGTAAATCCAGTATCCTCCCATTGTGATTTTAAAAAATGAAACTATATAAGTTTAAAAAACAAAAAGCAATGTATTTATCTGATAACCTAAAAGGCATTGGAATGTCACCAAGGAGCTAGAACAGGGCTACTCAACACGTGACCCATGGGCCACATGCGGCCCATGGCCCATCTGTTTGCGGCCCGTGATGCAGTTTGGGTACACACAGCCCGTGGGTGGGAGCCAAAACAAAAAAAGTAGTCATTGATATGCGTTTTAGTAGTTAAATTCCTGGACTGTCATTACTCATTAAAAGTGCTGTCATATGTGTGGAAATCAGGTAAATATTGCATTTTATTAATATCAGCAGAACTGACTTAAATGGGGCCTGTGTGTTGTGTAGTTTTGCTGTAATCTTTGTACTCACGCCCGTCAATGTGAAAGAAGCTTATGAATATATATTTGCATGTATAGGAAACCACGCTTAAGTTGCGGCCCTCGGCATGTGCTGTGAGTATCACTGTGGCCCCTGGAACTTCCAAAGTTGAGTAGCCCTGACCTAGAGACTAAATTCCTCTTGGTAGTCACAAAATACATGGGCAGAAACCAGCAACATTTCCCAACGTGGTTCTATCCTACAACCACTATCCACCAATGTGAGGAGGAATGGATGATTCACTCTCCACAGCAGCTCATTCATCATCCAGAAGGGTTACTGTTGAGTAAAATGAAATTCTCATATCTCAGATGGTAAGATGTGTTTTCCTAGTTCTTCCAGTCTTGGTTGACTTCAGAAGCATAGTTATAAGTGGGTAGCAAACTCATGTCTCTCACTTGCTATCATAAGGAAGTAAATTGCCTTTTGGCTTTTAAGCCACCCCTTTTTTCTTTCAAATACCACCTCTGTGCCCTTCATTCACAAAATTCACATACTGTACATGGCTATGAGACATGTGCTGAACAAAATAATGATTCCCAAATGGGGCCCTTACCGCTTCCAGTGCTCAAACGGACACCTCCCAGAAAGATGTTGCTGGAGAGTGACTCCTTGTCCCAGACTGTCAATTCTAGGCAGACGCTGTGTAGATCTGCAAGGTTCAGGCCGCTGAAAGTGAAGGTGTGATTCCAGTGGGGATTCACACTCTTCTTTATTACAGGAGTTTTATGTTTTGTTGCTTTGCTGTTATCTGGGAGCAGATACCTGAGGGAGACAGAAAGAAAGACGAAGAGAGGAAAATAAACAGGTAGATGGGAGTTCAGGTCAGTCATCCTTATCATTTGTATTACAGCATCACCTAGAAGTCCAACCAAAATCACAGAGGGCCCCATTGAGTTTTGAATTAAGTACAAAGATATAGTAAGAACTGTCCATTCCCTGATGAGCTTTTCCTCTAAATAGACAAAACAGAGCAAAAATAGGAGAAAGGAAGTCATATCATCCCCACAGATGGAAACCCAAGACACAGAGAAATTCCAACTGCAAATCAGCAAAGAACCCATTGAAGTCAAGCTAAGCATGCCAAAAAGCGGTGTTGAAGTGAGATCAAGTAAGTTGTCCAGGTTGTCCGGGTCTAAGACAGGAATTGAATCAGCTTTCCTGTATCTCAGGTTCAGATGCTGCCTTTAACCACACAATTCTACATTTCAATGGGACTCCTCATGGAAAACAATACCTTTCCATGTGAGTAAGCATTTCAGATTCATGGTGAGAAGCAACACTATTATGTGATAACACATTTAATTGATCTTGGGCAAAAATAAGTGGGTGAGAGAGAAGGAATTTAGCAGCTGGTCAGTGAGATGGTATCATCCCCTCTGCATTGACATAACTTTATGTTAAGGATGTTAAGTAGCGTGTATTTCACTAATTGAATAGTTTATGCATTTTTGCATTGACTATTCGATTAGTCAATAGTGGCATTTCAAAGGGGCAGCGCCACCCTATGTCATTCCAAGGGGCAGCACCACACTGAGCCCGGGATCAGCTGGAGACTCCTCAATTGAGCCCAAGCTCTGTGGCACTGCCCCTTTGAAACACCGTGGTGGCATTTCAAGGGGGCAGCGCCACATGGAGCCTGGGGTCAGCTGGGGACTCTAGATGATCCCGGGCTCTGTGTGACGCTGCCGTTTTGAAGTACCCTCCTTTTTCTCCCCATTTACTGCCTCTGTCTGATAGCAGCAGCAAGGGGGGGAAGCGACTAGTTGACTATCCTGTCATCTATCCGAGAAGCAGTTTCTTATCGGATAGTCGATGTTTACATTCATACCACAGATCTAATTCCTCACTAAAACACAAAGATTCTGATGCTATGAAGTCTGATGATTTTTTCAACTCCATAAGATTTCTATTTTTACCAGAGTACTCTTTTCTTGAAAATCTGTAAACACAATATATTATTTTTAAAGTCAAAGTAGTAGACAAATCTCTTTAATCTGAATTTACCCTTCTCCCAGTACAGTTCATGGGTTGATCTGAGCTATAGAAAATATATTTTAAAAAACCTGGTAACCTGATGGAAAATTGTTTGTCCAAAGGAAACTGGTTCAAACTCCACTTACATAAAACAACCCATGCCAACAACAGCAGATGTGTGTGATGAACTAACCAGAGACAGTTCAGGGAGTCAGCAACAGTGATATGCTGCCAATTTGTAAACTAGAGGCTCCAAAAACAAAAAATCCTCTTAGTCTGGTGTAAACTCCACATCTCATGTGTGTACAAGCTGCAGAGAGGAGAGTGGGGGACCAGATAATTTTTCCTTGTTTCTCTATTTAAACAAAAACACATTTCTCATAACTAAAGCCAACCACAGAGAAAGCTGCACTGGGCAAATCAATGTAAAATAAGCCTATAGATTGCTCTTTGTACCTCAAAAAATGTTCTGAGTACATTGATAGAACAGCACTTAGATCATGTGAATGGGAGGTGTAGAGTGAAAACCTTACAATGACTTCTAAGTATATCTGCTCCAGGAAAGCTTGCAAAAATCAATTTGTCATTTAAGACAATTTTAGCTATTGCAAAAAAGTAAAAAAAAAATTCCTCAGAAATATGTTTACGACCCCAGGAACAATTTACCATTCTTGGAGGAATGGCTTAGCTATGTCCAGAGAAGAGGTGAAACTTGATCGAGGTGTTCACTTCAACAAAAACATGCAGACTATAACTAACACACCACTGTACATAAAACAGGCAACTATGAAAGCTTTTACTGACAGAAAAATGACAAGGATGAACATTCTATTCCCCATTTTATTCATTTAGCACCGGGGTGGGCAAAAGGGCCTCCACGGGCCAGATCCGGCCAGCCAAGAGGTTTGATCCGGCCCACGGAGGTCCTGCTGCTCCCCTGCCCCCAGGCCAATCAGGATCTGGGGTCGGGGGAGTGTGTGAAGTTTCCTCCACCTTGCCAGGAGCACGCAGTGCTTAGAAGCACCACACGTTCCTCACAGGGCAGGAGAAGACTTTGCAAATCCCCCACTTCCAACCTCTGATTGGCCTGGGGGTGGAACGGGGAGTACGTGAAGTCTCCCTCCCTGCCAGCAGCTTGGGTGCCTAGGGGGAACCTCTGGGGGGTGCAAAGACTTCACAAGCTCCCCTACCCCCAGACTAAATAGGGTCTGTGGGTGGGGAAGTATCCTGGCCCCGCCCCTTCCGCTTGTGGCCCTGCCCCTTCTTGTGCAGCCCGGGTCCACTTCAAAAATTTCTGAAGTGGCCCCCAGCAAAAAATGATTGCCCATCCCTGATTTAACACCTTGAGTGCCATGCTCAGAATTATGTTTATATTATAGATACAAGCATGTACCTATATCAAATATTTGTTGTTTATTCAGGAAGTTTATTTGAATATTAAAGTTCATACTCTAAATGCTGAAAGATAAATAACAATCAGGCATATGTATATAGCAAAAAACCATACACACTGCATGATTGAAATCATACTGTGTTGCAGACATGTATATATAGCAGGTGTACATATATCACATACTCATGGGTTTTTTTAAGTGTTATCTTTAATGTTACCTTTCAAAGCCACATGTTGAAGTCTACAAGTAAAATTAAAGCTCTTATTTCAAATAATATATTATTACTTAAATTTAAATACTGCAGACAAAGAGAATTTAAGGTTGAACTCCATTCTGAGGTGCAAGTTCTTTTTCAGGAGTAAAGTTCAGTATCTATCAGACCAAAAAGGTACTGATCAGATAAACTAGGATTCAATGCAAAAGTTAGTTTTACTCTTGATGTGCTGTATAAAATATCAGAAAATAAAAATTACCCTTTAACAAATGTGTCAGAGGTGCCTCCTGATTTCACAGCTGTTAAATTTTTGGCTTCTTTGATAATGACCTCTAACATACCCCCAGAAGGCAGCTGTGCAGATCCTTTCCTTCCCTTTCTTAAACTCTTCTTTCCTGTACAGAAAACAAACCAACAACAAAATCAAGGACTACAGGCAGTCCCCTGGTTACGTTCAAGATAGGGACTGTAGGTTTGTTCTTAAGTTGAATTTGTATGTAAGTTTGAACTGGCGTCCAGATTCAGCCGCTGTTGAAACTGACCAGCAGCGGCTGAATCGGACATGCCTGGGGCAGAGCAGCTGGGGTGCTGCTGGGTTGGTCCCGCAGCGCTCCTCGGCGCTACTGGACCAACCAGGCAGTCCCCTGGTTACGTTCAAGATAGGGACTGTAGGTTTGTTCTTAAGTTGAATTTGTATGTAAGTTTGAACTGGCGTCCAGATTCAGCCGCTGTTGAAACTGACCAGCAGCGGCTGAATCGGACATGCCTGGGGCAGAGCAGCTGGGGTGCTGCTGGGTTGGTCCCGCAGCGCTCCTCGGCGCTACTGGACCAAC